ATGATATCCAAAAAACATTATACGAAATTTCTCGCCTAAAACAAAAAATTGAGTTAAACTAAGAAATGAAACTACACATATATTATGGGAAATGCAGGGTTTCGTACAAAGCATGCTAAGTAAGCTAAAAGCATGCTTCATGCACTTTTGGAGCAAATTAATTTTGGTTAGAGTCAGCTTGAAAATTTCATAGAGTACAATAACATGCATTAGTAATTATAGTCATGCTATAGCCAGACCATTCCTCAGCCTACAGTCATTTGGGTGATAAAAATGGAAAATTTTCTCTAAAAAATTTTGAAAAATACCTTTTATAGTATAATAATTATACATGTAGCTGGTATTTTGTCAAATTTTAGAGCAACTTTGAATCATAACTTACCAAGTGGCCTGGCGACAAGTTTAACCTCAAGTGCAGCAGGAATATCATCAAGAGTACCAGAAAAGTCACTTTTTTGTTGGTATGAACCAAAGCCCCCAGGAACAAATTCAGGTTTACTGTCATTGTCAGCAGTGCTGCTCTCTTCTGGTTCTTGCACTTCAAAGGAAAGTGGACCACTGACACTACTAGTAGAAGATACACTAACACTGTCGCCAGGTATTTCTTGACTAGATTTAACTGGGTCTCTACAAAAGATATAAGTACAGGCATGCAGTACATGAACACTTGCAAAATCTATACGCTTTGAAGTTTTTGCCTAACCTGTTATGCGGGTTTTTAGATGTCATCCTTTTAAGTCGACCCTTGTCTTGGCTGAGTGTACGCCCATTATTTACAAATACGCCCACTAATAGTAATTAGATAATCTAATTATGATAATAAGCAATACAAAAAATAATTATTAAAATAATTATAAAAATATATGGAGCTCTTCAAGAAGCTCTGATCAAGCAACACTGCAAATGCCATCCACCCACCACCAGTCTTGACTTTGATATCATCCCACACTTCTCGTTCTACTTTTAACCGTCTCAACAAACTCAACTGACTCTCATCTACAAACTCTTGAGATAGCTTCACTGCAAGACTAGCCAGCTCCAAGGGATCTGAAAAAAAGACATCATTAATATTCAATTTCACAATTAATAGCATTGTGTATTTTCATAAGTTATATATATTTGGGAGCAAACATTGATTTGATAACTGCCATTATACCACGACAGGAACTACCATAAGATCATAAATACCTTTCGTTGTCTCTAATTCTTTTCCATCACTTTCAATAAGCTATAAAATAAATATACATTATAAAATATAAAAGAATAAGACTCTGAAAATGCTTATACCATTTTAGAAACAGATGATTTCCAATGTTCCCGTAAGGAAACAGGATAAGAATCACTGGGCTCAACTTTACTGCATTTTTTGCATGAAGTGTCCTTGTCATTTTCCATTCTGTGATAAATGAACTGGTGATCATAACTCTCCTTACAGCGCAACAAAAAGTGATACGTTAAATCATTGACCGATTCCTTGACATCTTCCATGGCAGCAGTGCATGCTTTAACTACCAATGGGAAAGCTGTTTTGTATGCTTCAGTAGAATGACGAGGTTCCAATCTCAATTCTACGATATCTTTATGGTCGATTATGGTAACATCAACGTGTTTCTCTTTATCCTGATGATTGAAGCATTGATGTATAGGCAAGGAACAAGAGAGCAATTGCTGTACTTGAGGAAATGACGAACCAAAAGAACTTGAATATTACCAGGTACACATGATATGTATTGGAGGTAGAGAGAATGGAACTTAGGGCCATTGGTTGCTTTTGTAGGACGCATGCTGGGAATGTAGAACGAACGATCTGCTTCAATAAAGAAAATATTATTGCTCTTCACCTTTGATGTGCGAACTGAAACAGCCAAACGAAAAGACTTCAAGAGGGTCTTAAACATTTTGGGGTCTAACTCCTCATCCTTTGCTAACTTATCAATGGCTCCTTCAGTAATGAATCCAAACGAATTTGCTTTATCAAGCGGAGAATGGCCACAGTCAAAGACCTTGTCGAGGCAATCAGTGAATCTCTCAATATCGAGCAGGACAATATCAGTGTAGGAGGGGATGTAGAGGAGACTGGCAAAGCTTGTGAAGGTGGTTAGGAATGCTTCAACTTCACTGGAATCTATACCAGCACCACATGAAGTGGCCAATTTGCTGATATCACTTCTAGTTATAAGTGATATGTTTAAAGCCTGGAGAAAGCTGCGCAGAAAAACCCACCTTACAGGTAGCCCAGTAACATATTTGCTCATATTTTTGATAACCATTCTCTCAAGAATTTCCTTGGTTTGTTTCATATTGGAGAGGTTGATATTTTTGAAATTAGCGTCGAAGCCTTGTTCCTCAAAAATTTCCTTGAGACTATCGAATTTTGATTCTTGACTACATGAT